GTGGTTAAGCGAAGGCTCTTGGGATGGGGGGTTTTCCTGGTGGCCCCAGCTGCCTCGCACGTGTCTGTGGGAGGGAGGCAGTGGCAGATTTGACACAGAGGAGAAGACACGTAGGAGGAGGCCGAATGACAACAGAGCAGAGATTGGAGTGACAGGGCCACAAGCCCAGGGATGCGGGGGCACCTGCAGGAGGAGGAGGCAGGAAGGCCCCCCAACCCCCACCCCTGAGCCTCTGGAGGGAAGGCAGCCCTGCAGACACCTTGATTTCTGACTTCTGGCCCCAGAACTGTGACAGGATAAACTTCTATTGTTTTAAGCCCCCCAGTTTGTGCCCATTGGTTTCCACAGCCACAGGACACTAACACCCTGTCCCCCAAGGCCTGTTGACCTGGACGGCTCCTGTTTATTGAAGCCCAGATCCCCCCGACCCCGCACTCACCTCCTTAAAGAACTCTAGGTTGAACTAACACGAACCTTCCAAGGGAAACACGGAGCAGGATTGATCTGTTTGGACAAGAGGGGACGCCGGCCCTCCTGGGACAAAACAAGAACTGAGTTCGCCCGAGCACTGCTGGCTGCGGTTCGCCTTCTGGCAGTATCTTGGGAGATGGGGGTGTTGACAAGCTCTGGGGAAGGTTGGAAGGTGCAGCTCCCCCACGCTTGTTGGCCTCTGAGCACCGGCCACAGACCCCACGTCCACGCCAGGACCTCCGTTGGACTCTGAGAGTTCAGAAGCCAGACAAGCACCCTAGTGGACGCTGGGTGTTGAAATGCGAAAGAACGGCCTGGGTGCTCCTAAAGCATTAGGGTTCTGCAGGCTCTGATCCGGTCCCACAGCGCCCGGCCACAGGAGGGCCCAGCAGATGCCGGAGAATGAATGGATGATGCTGTCAGGGCAGCAGGAGGGACTGGGGAGTGAGGGGAGGGCTGCCCCCGGGCCAGGTGCCCGAGGGGATCAGCATGTCATGCCTAAGCATCATGGTGTGGGCTGGGCCGCCAGGAGGCCCCTGCCGGCTTGAGGGATTCCCAGGGTGTGGCAGGGACAGTGGGGACAGAGCTGCCGTCAGCCTCGAGGAGTAAGGAGGTGCTGAGGACCCTCCAGGGGAAGCTCGGCCAGGCAGGGAGGTGAAGGAGAGGGAGGGCCAGAGGAGAGGGAGAGGTGGGTTGGAGGGTCTTACCTGCAACAGGCTGGGGCTTCTTTGGGGGTGCAAAGGGAGTGAGGGGGGCTCAGAGCAGGGGGCAGAGCACACTCAGCACGGGTGCGGCTGGCCCCCACCCTGGGGAAGGAGCTGCTTCTGGAGGCGGGCTCCTGCTCGAGACGTCAGGAGATGGGCGTCTGTGCCCCCAGCTCGCTTGAGGGCCCCAGTTATCTGGGACTCAGCTGCCTAGGAGGTCACCCCGGCGGGCAGGGGCTGCACATCTGGCTTACGGCCCTGTGGTGGGTTTTATAGGTTGCAATTAAAGCTCTGGGCCCTTGCATTTACCAAAGGACACAGATTAAAGGGCATTTGTATGTAACCAGGACAGGCTTAACTGAAATCACCAGTCACAGGGACGAGAATTGTTACTTCCCCACAAAAGCTCTTTTTTTCCTTATTTGATCCTCTGTATCCCTGAAGCAGTTGTTGATTTGGTTCTTAGGGTAAACACTGTGTGTTCTAACATTGGGCTTTATATGGATGGACGTTCTTTCAAATGGAACTTCCAGCCGCCTTAGGGAAGTAAGTGGTGAGCTGGTTACTGTATCCATCGCTGATCACTGTATCCGTCCTGGTTAGTAGCATCAGCATGTCATCATCGCATCATTATCACATCATTATCAGAGCTTCGGGAGCATCTGCAGGAGACCAGCCCAGCATCTGTGTGCAGATTGGTCTGTCTTGAACTGCTGGGTTTCTTCCGGAACCTTCCCCCATCCCAAGGCATTTATTATACTCTTGTCTGTAACCAACACAATACGCCAAAAGCAAACATTCAGATTATTTTAAAAACAAGAAATGGAATGTATTTTTGAATTTTTAACTATTTTAACCTCACATGTAGAGTATGTGGATGGGTTTTGTTTTTCCTTTGACATTTTCATCCGAGTCAGAGGAGCGACGTGAAAATGCTGGTTCCAGCCTGTCCGTCTCCCTGGTAGCCGTGTGCCCTACAGGAGCCACTGCACCGCCAGCCCCTCCAGGATCCCGCCCTTTCCTGGAAGCAGGTCTCAGGGGCTTCGGCGTTTCACCGAGTGACTTTAGCTCTTTTAGCAAGAAATGCCGTGCACGGCTTGGTCTCAGGCCCTTAGACCCAGGGGATAGTTGCTGCCGTTCTCTTTACTTCTGTGACTGTGCTGAGATGAGCGTAGCGTGCTCAGGTCAGGGTGGAAGCATCTAGAATTATGCAGGATCTGAGCACTCTGACCGTTAGCCAGACGTGGAGCCTGGCCAGGCACCTTTGGGAGGACTTGGTGGAGGAGGGGACTGTCAGAACCCTGGGGGGCTCTTCACCAGGTAGGTTTCCTGTCCACCCCACCCCACCCCTGTGTCCCAAGGTAGAAGGTCTGAGCTGGGGCCTCCGAGGTCTTGGTATTCTGTGTATTGATGTTGGGGGCCACGGGCCCTTCCTCCAGGCTCCAGCCCCGCAGCACTTGACAGGGCCTTAAAGCCTGCAGCCCCCAGCTGATCCTCACACCCTTTGCCACGTGATCTCTGATGCCACTGACCCGCAGACCTCTGGCCCCTGGTTCTTCCCCCCGAGGCCATGTGCCAGGAGTCCAGGTACTGCCTGTGCTCCCCACAGACACCTGGACCTCAGCTACACAGCTTGTTTCAATTTTGCAGAAAAAATTTCACCAAAAATCAGGCTTTTAGAAGTGACTGGATCTATCTTAACGTCACCTGGGTCAGAGCACGGCCCTGTCCCACAGTGAGAGAAGTCCTTCAGGCTGAGGAGGACCCTGTGCCACTTGGCGTTCGTGGGACCCGGAGCGACCCTGCAGCAAGACAGCAAAGCCAAGTCCTTCACATGTCACCGTCTTTACATCAAGAGGGAAATGGTGCCTTTTAATAACTAGGTGTTGTTTCTTATTAAAGCGAGTTCAAGAGTATTTCGGCATCCTAAAAACAAACTGTAGAAGTAGCCTCACCCTGAGGGTGTGACAGCCGTGGGGGGTCAGGAGAGAGGAAGATGCCAGGCGCTCGGGGCTCTGGGGACAGGTGGGCAGGGTCCTCCCCTACCTGCCACCGAGAGCCCTTCCTGGGCCCAGGGACGCTCGCCTGATGTTTCTCTTCCTCACAGCACCATCTCGCAGTAATGGCTCAACTGCCCGATGCTCTCAAGGGGGCGTCCACGGCCCTGTGGGAGCCCTGGGCACGGGGCCTCCTGCACGGCGGGCATCTCGTCCGCTGTCTGCTCAGCCCCTCCGGAGCTCGCCTGCTCGGAGTGGCCGAGCAGACCTTCTGAGACCCGAGGGGAGCCTGTGCTCCGTCCCTCAAGTCCTCCCTGGCGCACTCCCAGGGGTCCTGGGGAGACCCGCAGTCTGGAGTTCCCTCCTGCCTGCAGAGGGACCGTCCGGCTCCTCCTCCCAAACCCGGGCTGCAAGTGCCCAGGATCGTGGGTGTGCACCCATCTCCTCATTTCCCCGTACCCCAGTGTTTTAGGGCGTTTCATGTTCTACGTCAACGCCTCTGAGAACTAAGCAGTTTGTGCATTAGGGTAAAAGGGTTTCGGTGTCTTCGTGGTGTTTGTTTTGTTTGCTGTTGAGCCTCTCAGGAATCGCGAGGTAACGATGCCGTACTTGCTGAACACGTCAGGCGGCCTTGGTTTGAGGAAGGCCCGTGTCCCTTTTCCTCCAGCTGATGGACACGGGCCTGGTGGGAGGGTGCTGGCACAAAGCCTCGGTGTCCTGCGGCAGGGTCTGGCTGGTGGCAACAGGCCCCTGGGACGAGGAACCTGAGAGCCACTGAAAAGTGGCGGCCACATGGCCGGTGCTGCGGAGGCACAGCCAGCGCATGGCCTCCTGTTGTTTCCTGCGGTGACCAGGGGTGCCTCAGGGCAACAGAGGCTCCTGTGGTCACCTGCCAGCGAGCAGATGCCACCAGTCCACCCCAGGGGGTTGGGAGGCTTTTGATGAAATAGAAAGGGGGAGGGAAGAGGCTGCTCCCGTGGCTGAGTGTGGACTCATCTCTCTCCCGCCCGCTGGGCCTGAGCCGCCTGTGCCCACTGAGGTGCTCGGGACAGCCAGTTGTAGACTCGACCTCTCGGAGTTGTCCATCTGCACAAGGGGACAGCTGGCAGGACGAGTCTGTGTGAGCCAACAGTACTCACCACTGTGGGGGGACTTGAGGCCTGTTTGTGGGTGGGAGCGAGGGTCTGGTCCCCTCCCCACTGCTCGTACCTTTGGTGGGGCAGCGAGTCTGTCTGGAACCTTCCACCATCCCGCGTGAGGACCCTGACCAAGGACTGCTGAGCATCTGGGGTGTCAGGCGCCCTTGCAGGGTGACCCCCCGGGGCCTCCTACCAAGTTGGGTTTGGCTGTGGAAGCCGAGGGGCTTCTCTCCGCCCAGGCCCCTCGGCCTCCGCCCAGCGCCTTAGGGCAGGCGCCTCTGCCTCCCGGTGTCTCGGGGAGCTATGGGGCAGCACTTCTAGCTCTTGCGTGCGCCTCTGGCGGGAAGTGCCTCGAGCTGGGCCGGGGAGCAGAGGGCAGGTGGGTCCCGTCACCGGGACGCACCGTCAGGCGGAGGCCACGCCCTCGATGGGGCACTCAGGCCTCCGCGTGAAGCAGCAGCAGAGTCTCGTCCTGCTGACGGGTCTGGTGGAACCAACAACACGGTGGGATGTGTGCCTGCTTTGCTTTCTCAAGATCTGATGCTGAGTGAGTGTGGAGAGGGTGCGGGCTGAGAGCATGTGACTCCCCAGGAGGCCAGAGGCCGGTTCCAGCACCTGGAGTTCGTGGGGTCTCCACGGTCTGCCCCCCTGAGCCACGTGGTCACGCAACTGCCCTGTTCTCCCTGCAGGAGCTGCCCAGTGGGGACCCCAAGGAGGGGCTTTTCCGGGAGGACCAGTGTCCCCTAGAGGGTAAGTCCTGCTCCCCAAACCTCAGACCACCCAAGGCACATGTCCGGGGCCTGCCCTCAGGACACCCCAGACGAACTGAGCCCCTGAAGATGAGGACTGCACATGCTCCCCCTCCTTAACTTAGCCCACCAAACCCAGCCCAGCCCCCAGTGGCCGTGGGTCCCCACGGTGGCCGTGTGCAGGTGCAAGCAAGCTGTGAGCTGCGGTCCCCAGTCTCATAAGCAATTTGTTCTTGAAATACACTTGGAAACGCCTTTCACTTGGGCTCCTTACACGAAGCAGGTGACCTGGTCTTACGGGCATCAGAGAAGCCAAAGCCCGAGCCATAGGGGCTTGTCCATCTGTGGAGTTCCCATGAGCCTGTGCATAGAGGCAGCACCGCCGGGCTCTGGAGAGAGGGGATCTGGCGAGTGCACAGGTCAGGCCTGGGTGTGATGTCCTCTGTCAGTGTAAGGCTGTCGGAAACGGTTGGCTGTGAGGTGTTGACCAGCCTGAGTCACTGCCGAGAGCGTGCGTCTGCGCTGGAGAGGGTCCCGCTGTGGACCTGGCAGGTTGTCACCAGGCCTGCCCGCAGGTCAGGGTCGGGGATGAGTGTCCTCGGCATCATGTGAGGCAGGAGTCATGGGGGGTGCAGGGGGGCCAACCAGCAGGTCCGCCATCAGAGGGGCTCTGAGACCCTCCTAGTTGGGAACTCGGGCCCTGAGACTCTCCCCGGCTCGCACCTGTCCGAGCACCTGTCGGCAGGTCTGAGCCAGGAGATGCCCGAGCTCGCATCCTGGAGAAGAACGAGCCAGAGAGGAGACACTCGTCGTCTAGCTACTCAGCTGGCAGGCTCAGTGCAGGCGGCTTCCGTGGACCCTGGAGTTGAGGGTTGTTGGGAGACTGGACGTGTCGATGGGGAGGGGAAGCCAGATGATGCAGTGACCCCCTGGAGGCCCCTCGGCAGGGACCACCCCTCATGGGGCTGTGGGGCAGCCTCCTCCCCACCCACTGCTCCAAAGCCACTGCTGGGCCGGTGGGCAGAGGCAGGAGGGTGCACCTGGCTATGGCTGACCCAGGCGAGGGACGAGGGGGCACCTGGCCGTGGCTGACCCAGGTGAGGGCAGCCCTCTGCACAGGTCCCTTGATGCCCCCTGGTTCTGGAAGGAGGGGCTCTCCACTCAGGCCCATCTGGAGAGGATCAGGGCTTGGACGGCTCCCCGGGCCGCACCTTCTGGCGTCCCCTCTGCCCTGGGTCACCTGCCTGGGCCAGGCCAGGGGGAAACAGGCCCCTTTCCCTCCTCATTCCCCCAGTGGCACTCCCTGCTGAGAAGGCCGAGGGCCTTGAGGGCCCAGGACAGCTCTTCGGCGTGGACGATGGAGAGAGAGCAGCAAACCGAGAGGCCCCGAGAGGACTGAGCAAGAAGCGCCTGGACATCAACGTAGGTCTTTTCTCCTGCCTCGCTCTCTCGCAGGCGGGTCCCGGGGCCAGGATAGTGCGTGTTCACCATAGCATGGGCGTCTGTGGACCCGGCAGCCTGGACGGTTCGCCTGAGGTTCAGCGAGTTGGAGGGGTTGAACATGTTCCCGACGCCCCGGGTTCCTGTGGGCGGAGGGTGTTGCTGTGAATCTGCCACAACCGGCCGATTTGGCACCAGACAATTTGAGGGACTTTCCCAGGCGTGCCCAGCTATGGGAATGATACCGAAGTCGACTTTACAGACCGTCCTGTCTCCCCGGCCGGCCCAGGGCAGGGGTGTGATGGAGCAGCGGGAGGGGGGCAGGGCGAGGACAACCCCGCCGCCTCTGTCCCATGTGCCCCCGCAGGCGCTCCAGTGCGACGTCTCGGTGGAGGAGGACAACAGCCAGGAGTGGACGTTCACCCTCTACGGCTTCGACCACAGTGGGAAGGCCACCAGGGAGGTGATGCCCTTGTGTCTGCGTCAAATGGTCCCGGGGAAGGGCGCTGGTGGTCCTGGCGAAGGGCGCCAGCAGCAGACAGACAGACAGACAGACAACAAGGCCCCCAGTCTCTGTGAGGAGGTGACGGGCTGAGCCCGCTCTAGGGTGGGAGGAGAGGCTGGGAGCTCTCGCAGGAGGCAGGCGGGCAGGGGGACCCAGGAACCGACAGAGCCCTGGAGTCGGCGTCTCCTTGAGGCCCGGCCAGGCCGCCATCTGGCTGGTGCAGCTCCACACGCCTGTTCCTGCAGCGGCACCTCTGGCTGGGGCCAGCAGCCCTCCGGTGGGGCAGCGAGGGTCCTGGGAGTGCCCCGCCCTCCTCTGCTGGCCTGTGTGTCCAGGACAAAGTACCCCTTGAAAGGAAGCAAAACGTAGGATGACTGAAATAAGTGCGTTTGGGTTAAAAAGCAAAACTTGGATCTGAACACGGATTCAGTTTGAAATTTGAAAGGTCAGAGAGATGAGATCCCAACAACAGCAGGGCTGCTCACTCAGACAGCTTGCTGCCTGTGTGGGGTGAGTGTGGGGTCGGAACAGCCTGCTCAGACAGGTCGTCGTGTCTGAGCCGGGGTGTCTGGGACACTGAGTGAGTCAAGCAGGAGGGCAGCCTGGAGGGGGCGGTGGGCAGCCTGCGTCATGCCAGCGTGGGTTGGGCAGTTCCGCTGGCGTTGGTGACGGCGATGCCGTCCTCAGGACATGTCCAGCCTGATGCACACCATCTACGAGGTCGTTGACGCCTCCGTCAACCACTCCTCGGGCAGCAGCAAGACGCTCCGAGTGAAGCTGACCGTCAGCCCCGAGCCCTCCAGCAAGAGGAAGGAGGGTCCCTCCGCCGGCCAGGGTGAGGGCCCGGTTCCCCCCAGCAGCGGCTCCCCTGCTCAGATGCCCTGAAGACCCCGCTTTAAATGGCAGCCCCTCCCTCACCCCCACACAATGCAGTCCTCCAAGCTCTTGCCTCCCACGTGCCAAACCACGGGTTACCTGTTACTCGTGTCTGCTGTTCAGTGCCCCCAGCCCCCCAGGGCACGAATCTCCTGCTGTCGTTCCTGAATATGGAAAGCAGGGCCTGGTACCTGGCAGGGGCTCAAAACTGTTCAGTGAACGAATGAATGAGTGCACTAACAGCGACTGAGTGGATGAAGGGATGAATGCATCCACAGTGGGTGGACAAATAAACGGCTGGGCCAGTGAACCAGTGGGTGACCAAGCAAACGCACTTCTTCCAGACCGGGAGCCCGCTCGCTCCGGGATGGAGGGTGAGCCAGCCGAGGACCCAAGGGTGGCCGACAAGAGGCTGTCTGCCCACGTCAGGTGAGGGGCTGGGGTCTGGCTCCTCCCCCTGGATGTGCCTCCTCAGCTGGGAGCAGGCGGCTGGCGCCTGCTTCCTACAGGCCTCACAGGCTGTCCCCTCAGGGCGCACAACCAGGATGGGCCCCTGGGCGCGGAGGAGCCCAAGCACTGCCTCTGTGGGGGAGGGTGGCACCTTGGGGTCCCTTCTGCACCTGGAGCTCAGGCTGGAGCTGAGCCCGCCCGGCTTCTGTCTGAGGCAGGGGAGGCTTGAACGGCAGCGGGGCGGCCCCCAGACCCTCAGCTGCGTGCTCTGGCGCCCGTGGTTCCACTCACCGGCTGTGGTGGCCGGGGCAGCAGCTGCGGAGGTCCCAGAGCGGTGACCTGCTCTCTGCCGTGAGGCCCTTGTGGGCGGCCCAGGTGGACCAGAGGACAGAGGAGCTCCTGCGGGTTCCCTAGGCATTTGTGATGGCGATCCTGGGGTCCTGTGGGACACCCGCCCTTTCTCTCGCTCCCCTCTGGGTGGTGGAGGCTGGTCAGAGCCTCTGGGACCCCAAGATCGTGCGCTACAGGTGCCCCCTGCATCTCTGGATGCCTGCTCTGGCCCCCAGGCAGCACAAGGTCAGTGCTGTCTCCCTGGCAGGAGGCCCAGCGCCGACCCCCACCCCTGCCCTGTGCGCGGGCCGTACTGCGTGGACGAGAACACGGAGCGGAGAAACCACTACTTGGACCTGGCTGGGATCGAGAACTACACGTCCAAATTCGGGCCTGGTAGGTACTGGAGACCATCCCCCAGGCGTGGACGCCTCAGTCAGGAGCATGAGCCTGGCCTGAGGGCCCCGGGTCCCTGCAACGAACCACAGTGCGGCAGTGTGTCCAAGGGGGCGCCCCGGCCAGGTGTGTGGGTGTGCCTGGTCCACGGTGAGATGTCTCAGCCCCACAGAGGGTCTCACGGGGTGTCCCGTGTCCCGTGTTCCATGTCCCGGGCCCCGCAGAGGGTCTCACGGGGTGTGCCGTGTCCAGTGTTCCGTGTCCCGGGCCCCGCAGAGGGTCTCACGGGGTGTCCCGTGTCCCGTGTCCCGGGCCCCGCAGAGGGTCTCACGGGGTGTCCCGTGTTCCGTGTCCCAGGCCCTGCAGAGGGTCTCATGGGGTGTTCTGTGTCCCGTGTTCCGTGTCCCGGGCCCCAAAGACGGTCTCACGGAGTGTCCCGTGTCCCGTGTTCCATGTCCCAGGCCCCGCAGAGGGTCTCACGGGGTGTCTCGTGTCCAGTGTTCCATGTCCCAGGCCCCGCAGAAGGTCTCACGGGGTGTCCCGTGTCTCGTGTTCCATGTCCCAGGCCCGGCAGAGGGTCTCACGGTGTGGCCCGTGTCCTGTGTTCCGTGTCCCAGGCCCTGCAGAGGGTCTCAAGGGGTGGCCAGTGTCCCGGGCCCCAAAGACGGTCTCAGGGAGTGTCCCGTGTCCACAGGGTCACCGCCAGCACAGGCCAAGCAGGAGCACCAGGGCAAGGCCTCGTGCCCCCAGAGCAGGTCCCGCTCGCAGGAGCCGGACGCACACACCGCGCACCACCGCAGGTCCCAGGTGCTGGCTGACCACACCCTGCTGACCGCGGAGCCTGCCGCCCGGGCTCTGGACGGGCAGCCCCGGCTGAAGGGGCAGGAGAAGCAGTTCCTCAAGTCCCCCAAGGGCTCGGGGAGGCCGCCCGGGGGGCCCGGTGGGAGCAAGTCCGGGAGAACCTTCAGCTACCACCCGCCCGCCGCCCTGCTGCAGGGCCCCCAGGACGGCCACCACCTCCAGCAGCCCCCGCCGCAGCCCTACGGCCACAAGCGGTACCGGCAGAGGGGCCGGGAGGGCCACTCGCCGCTCAAGGCTGCGCTGGGCCAGCCCGCCGTGGTGGAGCACGAGGTGGTGCGGGACCTGCCGCCCGTGCTGCTGGGGGAGGGCTACGCGGTGCCCGTGGTCCAGCGCCACGAGCACCACCACCACCACCACGAGCACCACCACCACCACCACTACCACCACCACCCCCACTCCTAGCGCGGCCCGGCCCGGCGCCACGTGGACGGGGCGGAGAAAGCCCTTCCGCCTCCACTGCTTCCTCCACCGCTGCCGCGGACGCCGCCAAGGTGGACTCATTTGATGCTGACGTTTCCCAGCTATAAAGCTATTTTGTGTACTCCATAAAGACCGTATGTAGGCATAGAAAAACGCACCGGTACCTGTCGTCTGTGATTCCAAAATGAGGCCCTGTGGCGTTGAAGGGCCTCTGCCGGACAGCCTCCGTGTGTTTTTCTCAGGGCGCCACGTGCTCCGGGCCCTTTGACCCGGGCACGGGGGTGGTGGGAGTGGAGGTGAAGCCTTGCAGCCTCGTGTAATCTATTCTTTGTGAAGCCAGGAGGGGGCGGGTCTGGGGAGAGCTGTTCCTCGGCGCCGTGAGTGTAGTGGCGAGCTCCGCTACACGACGTGAGCACAGATCACAGCAGAAGGGGGGCCGCAGGGGACGGGCAAGACGGCTCCTGGGAGAGCAGAGAGGAGGGCGGAGGCGGGCGGGCTGCCACGGCCGCGGGGCGGCCTCTGGTCTCACGTGCCACCAGCATCTTAAGTGGACACAGACGCGACAGCAGGGCAAGGGAGGGTGGTGGACTCCGCCAGGTTCCCGTCCTCGGAGGACTCACACGTGCCATTGCGACACTCATGGCGCAGCATCCATGACACCTTTGGAGAAGCATGCTTCCCTCTGGGAGGGTTAGGAAAGGGTCCCAGACCAGCATGAAGTCCCAGCGATGCTGGGTGGTGATGGTGTCGCACAGTCGGGGAACTTCGGCTGACAGGGGTCCCACTGAGGCAGGAAGCTGGCTCCTGCTCCGTCGAAGAGGAGCCAGTGGGCGTTCTGGCAAGCTGTGCATCTGTGCCGGGAGTCTGCATTTGCCTTCTTTGCACTGTTCTTAAGAATAAAGCAAATTGGCGGTCGACTTGTAATTGAGGTGTTTTCCCCCAGTCATAATAAAAATACTTGCATTTTATAACGTCTCACCTATTTTAAAACGGATACGGTCAGTCCACCCACACCGGCATGTGGCCAGGTGGGCACACCCTCCCCGGAGAGAGCGGCTGTGCCTGTTTATACGTTTATAGAAGGAAAATTAAAATACACGTGGGCACACATGACCCCGTATTTGTGGGTAAGTTTCTTTTCCCGTTTTACCGCTCACAAAAACCTAAGCCCGAGGCTGGGCTCACGATAACAGGACACTTTGCACCCTTGTCTGGGGCCGCGTGGACCAGGGTTTGTGTGGCGACATCGGCTCTCTGTAAACGAGAATCTGTCTGGAGAGGCCGATGTGTCTCATCAGTGTCTTCTCTTCCCCTTGAGACTTCACGTCCCTGTTCACGGCTGGTTTAAAAATCCCTCGGGATTTCTGAGTAACTGGTGTCTCTCCGCGAGCCGAGGCCCACGTGCTGAGGGAGAACCAGGGGATTCTTGGGGTCTCTCGAGGCCGGAGCACTCGCATCTCGGTTTTCCAGGTGTTTCAGATCAGCAGGCCTCGGGGTGCCTGACTGGCCTGGAGGCCAGCGGCCAGGCGGCAGAGTGCGCCCTTCTGTGTGGACACGTCTGCGTTCCGTCCGCACCTCGTGAATCCTGCGTAGCAACGTCACACACGCGGCCGCCTCGGGGTTTCTGCAGAATTGCTTGTCCACCCCAACCTGGATCCGTGCTCAGTGTGCAGAGCTCCTGCGCATGCTGCCACGGCAGGGGGCCTGCTTAGTGAGTCCCAGCAGGCCAGCCGGCTGGCCTCCGGCGAGTGCTCCACTGACCAGCCGGGTGGGTAGGTTTGGTGAGGCCTGAACTTCAGCCTCTTTGACTCCAGATCCTGGTTTTAAAAACAAGACATGAGTGAAACGCCAGCAAGCACAGACCAGAAGCTGAGGGTCTGCTGCTTGTGAATCCGTGAAGCCGGGGCCCATGGTTCCGACTCTGATTTGGGACCGTCCCTTGGATGTGGGCCGCACCCAGGGTGGCACAGGCGAGCCCTAAAGGGACAGAAGCAGGTTAGAGAACAACAGAAAAGACCACTTTGTGCACGAAAAGGGGCCCAGCATTGACATGGACGTGTTAATTAAACGTCCACACGTGGAGAACAGTCTTTCTCTCGTCAGGATGTCAGGACGATGTAGCTTGCCTGGGTTGGGGCTGGGCCCAGGACCACATGTGTTGGAGCAGCAGGCACCCACCTAGAAGAGAGGCCGTGACGGCGCTGGACGCAGAGACGGAGGTGGATGAGCTCGGAGGACATAACGCAGACGTGTCCAGCCCACTCCAGGGACACAGTTCCCGCCCGGCTGGGCCCCGTGGATGAGCCAGAGGCTCTGTTGCCGAGTCTGCCAGGCATGCTGGGCGCCAGGAAGGCCTCATGGTGACTGGCAAGGACCAGTTGGGGACGGTTTTCGTAGCAGAGACAAAGACTCTTGTCATTTACTTGTTTTTAAGTGTAGATGTTGCTATTGGATGATCTCAGAGCTGGACCAACCTGTATCTTACATTCTCAAGGAGAGCCTTCTGGAAAGTACGTTCCCAAATAAACCTGGTATTGAGTGAATGGACTTCTCCGTGGTGCTCCTTTGTCGATAGGTGTGCCCAGCGCCTCCCGGGGCCAGCGCCCTCGAGTCTCCACAGCGGCGACCTCGTGCATCACTTGTGACCCTGGGCTCCGTCCAGACGCCCTCTCTAGGGTGCGGCCTCTGGTTCCTGGCTGATCTGAGTGCTGGTCATCTTGGCCACTGTGCTTTCCTGGTCCCAGGCCTGGGCCATCCACCTACACACACTGGACTCTCTCTTGTCCTCCCTTTCTTGGAGGGCGAGGCCTCGTCTGAGGTCTCAGGGGTCCAGTGTTCGCTCCTTCAGGAGCTGCAGGCCTGCGTCTCTGGGCCCCTTGGGCCTGTGCTCTCGGCCGGCTCTGCTCCTGCATGAGGTACCTGTCTGCCCAAAGATGAGTCCAGAGAGCAGAGCACAGCCCTGCTCTCCTCAGGCCGGAGAGGCCCAGCCAGCGGATCTGCGTGACTGCACCATCCAGGCTGGCGTCAGAGGAGACCTCCTTGCCCAGGAGGCCCCACCACCACCACCACCAGGGCCCCAACTCATCCCTCACCCCCAGGAGCCCCACATACCCCTCACCCCCAGGTGCCTCCACACACCCCTCACCCCCAGGGGCCCCCACACACCCCTCACCTCCAGGATCCCTGACCCCTCACCCCCAGGAGGCCCCACACATCTCTCACCCCCAAGGTCCCCTACCTCTCACCCCCAGGAGCCCCCACACACCCATCACCCCCACGGGCCCCACACACCCCTCACCCCAGGAGCCCCCACACGTCTCTCACCCCCAGGAGCCCCCACACACCCCTCACCCGTGGGGCCCCCACACACCCCTCACCCGCGGGGTACTCTCTGCCCGTTTCCTCATTTCTTCCCATGACCTCATGTGGCTCTGCTCTTGGGTGAAATGACCAGGGTGCTTGTTGCGTGGGGACCTTGTTCCCGTCTGATCCTTGGCACCAACCCACAAGCTCCTTGAGGCCCCACAGCTTGTCTTTGGTACCAGGCACATCACAGACACATGGATGGAGTCCAGTGAGCCCTTGAGGGTGAATGAGTGAGTGACTGAATGGATGACTGAGTGAGTGAATGAGTGAATGAATGAATGCATGCATGAGTGAATGAGTGAGTGACTGGATGAGTGAGTGAGCAAATGAATGAGTGAGTGGGTGAGTGGGTGAGTGAGTGAATGAATGAACAAGTGAGGGAATGAAGGAGTGAGTGAATGAGTGTGTGAGTGAATGAGTGAATGAATGAGTGGGTGAGGGAGTGAACGAGTGACTCAGTGCGCGCGTGTGTGTGAAGGCAGCTCTGTCAGAGCACCCCCCAACCTGCCATGTGAAGCGCCCACAAAGGTAGGGGCAGCCCAGGGCTGGCCTTTCGCTGGTTTCGGGTGGCGGGGCCCAGAGGTCCAGGGAAGGCCAGGCTGCAGCCATGCGTCTCCTGCGGGCCCTGCTCCTGAGTGCATGCGGACACGGAGGGCCTCGCCCACACCTCCCGGCTGGGAACACAAGCTGGTGCCGTGATCCCTGGGACGCAGGCCCCCTCAGAGCAAGGAAGCTCTGAGCGCGGAACCTCAGAGCAAGCTATGCTGAGGTGGGGGCAGGTGAGGGATTCACCCAGAGTGTGCCGGGCACAGCTGAGGCGGTCATGCTGGGGGCTGTGGGCAGGGGCTGGTGGAAGGGACTGGAACACCAGCTGGGAATTCCTGGAAGGGAACGGGTGCTGGGCAGGGCTTTGGGCCCCGAGACTGTGGGAAGACCCAGGTTTTCAGGAAGAGACCGGGCGCCGTATGAGCCGGACCCAGGCTCTGCGGAGCCCCGGAGAGACTCCTGCTCTAACTCGGAGTTCCGGACTTCACCAGCTCTTCCCACGAAGCCCCTTGCTGCACCCGGAGGGCTGAGCCCAGCAGATGAGACAGCCCCCAGGACGGGTCCAGCTGCGAGCCTTATTCTGGCTATGTCCCGCCCCCTGCTGACACTGAGGAGGTGCCCCCTGCTGACACTGAGGAGGTGCCCGGCAAGCTAGGAACTGAGGAGAACGCCCTAATGTGGTGAAGAGTGTCAAGAGTGTCTGCCGACCTTACAACCGAACAAAACCCAACAACAAATGCCCCAGCCCGCATCATTCTGAGAGCAGAGTGAGACTGGTGCCCTCACTGCAGCAGGCCAGGAGAAGGAAGGACCTCCTGATGGCACAGGGAATCTATCAGGGTTCCCCGAGGTGGGGCTGAGGGGCAGTCCAGAAGCGTCTACAGATAACTTCAAGTCTAGCAAAGCCTCCAGATAGATGGTTCGCGTCCAAAATCAATGTATTTCTGTACGGCAGCTACTGGTTATGAGATAATTTTTTGTGGGGTTTTTTTTTTTTTTCTGAGGAAGATTTGCCCTGAGCTAACATCTGTGCCAATCTTCCTCTTTCTGTATGTGAGCTGCCACCACAGCATGGCCACTGACAGACGAGTGGTGTAGGTCCACAC